AATCTAAATTACAAGATAACATGCTCACTAAAAAGAACATTGACGTGTTGCATGTATTTTTGGTGTTTTAATTTGCCACAATACTTTTCTTTCATATAGGTGAAAGGGTCAGGGAAAATTGGTCTATGTACCATACATGTAAATAAAAATTAAATTTTGCATCATAAATCTTTGAGTTTGTAATTTTGTATCCCATCCTTTTCTTTTTCGGTTATAGACGTGCATTCAGTGTCGGGAGCTAAATGAAATTTCGGTATAAACAACGGTTATATTGTTAAAATGTTGTATCACGCGTATTGAATACTCCTTCCGTCCCAAAAACAACTTCCCACTTTCCTTAAATGGATATGTCAAAATTAACTTCACATTTCTTCCACTTTCTTATTTAGCAAATTATCTACATCAAAACAGTGTCAAACAGTACCAAACGGTGTCAAACAGTGCTAAACAGTGTCCAAACAGTAAAATTTACCCCCAATAAATTTATTTCCTTAATATGTGTGCAAAACGAAGTGTGAAGTTGTTTTTGGGACGGAGGGAGTATGAAATAACAATATAAAATACTCCGTATAATATTTCACATTGTTCATATTCGATAAAAATCTTATGTGTTATATTGTTATCTCATATTTAACCGGTGTCATACAAAGAATCTTAGAAATTTTATCAATTCGGATTTTGAAAGATAGCTTGAGTATCAATCATGTGCCAACTTTATCATATTTTCAGTCTTATATTCTTAGTTTTTTATCCTTTGTGCCATATATCGACACTTTCCATCTTTCACATATTTGATTGATAGATAATCCATCTTTGAAGTACTAGATTGATAAAATCCAAAGATTTTAGTATGCATGCACAAATGTGACTTTCTTTATGAATGTTTACCATAGTGTCTTGTTATTTCAAACTTGACATGTTGGAGTCTATATATTCTCTATTTGTTGTAGGAGATAAGTAGTCAACAGGAATATCTAAAACTGAAAGCAAGATATGAAGCATTACAGAGATCACAAAGGTATATCATCAACTCATTACTCATGAACTTCCATTTTCAGTGCCAAACTACCCCTAAGCAGCGTTTGGGTCGTTCAAAGAAATCACCTTTTGTGCGTGGGTGATGATATGATAGGAACCTTTTAGGTGAAGATCTTGGACCTTTAAACAGCAAGGATCTTGAATCTCTTGAAAGGCAGCTTGATATGTCATTGAAGCAGATCAGATCAACAAGGGTATATTAGTCACATACCCCTATTTTTTTAAACTTCTTTTTCTGTATGAACCCTAAAACACCTAAATAGAGCCAATATAATGGATTTAATATACTTGTTGATGATAAAATCCATGCATTTCCAGACTCAATTAATGTTGGATCAACTCATGGATCTTCAGAGAAAGGTACACCCTGAAAATTCCTCCTTAAAGAAGTTTACCTCTTTTTGCATGGAGTTAATTAAACTGCAGCCAAATACTGTTTCTACAGGAGCATGAACTAAATGAAGCAAACAAGACTTTGAAACACAGGGTTTGTGTGCTCAATACTCTTCTCTTTTTTCATTTTTCCACCCTAACTTACACTTCTATTTCTTTGCTCTGTCTCTCTTTTGTTAAGAAGTTGTTTGTCAAAAACTTGGCTACTAATAAGCAAAAAAAGGCATATATAAAGGTGAAAACATATATGTATATGTATATATTTTCACTTGGCATATATACAAACATTTGGCTACTTGCTCAAAATATATATGTATATGCCCAGGAAAAAGGCATATATAAAGATGCCATAGTGGCATAGAAAGCTTATATACTCAACTTATATAACTAGGGCGATATAAATAATATTTCTAGATAAAATTTTACACGATTGTTTTACACTAAAAATAAAAGCTCTTTTTTGAAATTTGGAGTGTGTGGAGGCGTAACATGCCCCTACCTTCGCCTAAGGCCATAACTACTTTCATCTCAATCACTGTGGTACATAAGTTCTTGAGGGTAAGTTTGGGTGAATTGGTGTTGAGGAAAGCAATTGAAGTGCTAAGTCTATATATTCATTTTTTCAATTTTCTTTGGAAAAATAGATAGTTTAAGAGTAGACTTGCGCGGATACACATATATGCATCGTTGTTGCTATAACATTTCAAAAAAAAACGTTTTGAAATTCCAAATATATGATTTTAATGGTTCCGAGATTCTTTTTTAGGACTTGTATCAAATTGTTAGACTAAAATAAGGGTTCTTTATTTAAGCAATTTCTTGGTAACATTTTCATGTAGTTGCTCATATAAAATCTAATGTATGTTGCATTTGAGTAGGGGTATGTTGCAATTTCTCTATTAGTACCAAATGCCTATGAGTATCAATATATATGGTTGGTGAGTAAATAGGTATTAGTACATTTTGATACCTTCAATTTGCATTAGTAGCTAGTTTGGATTATTCTAATTAAGAGATTGAAAACAGTTTAGTTTAAAATATGATTAATGGCCTAAGAGTATAGGGAGTAAATTTCTTGCTACTACTTGAAGAAATATATACTAATTTTACAGTTGATGGAAGATGCCCACCATTTAACTCTGGACTGGAATCCAAACGCACAAGATGTAGAGTATGGAAGGCAACCAATTCAACCCGACGGTTCTCACGCCTTTTATCATCACATGGATTGTGAACCCACTTTACAGATTGGGTAATTAACTCATTCACCAAGTTTAAGCTCTATTCTTTTATTTGCATTAATTATTCAAAAATCGTATTACTTCATAATACCAAAATAATTTTGAATAATTCATTTTAATACTCTCCTTACCTTTTTATTTAGCCATCTTCGACTTTTTCAATCAAAGATGGTAAACTTTGATCCACTATTAAACTAATACTAGCATATTGATTTGAAACATGATAAATTTTTACTTGTATGATGATATTTTTAACAAAATAATTTTCATATCATTTTCATATTATCAATATTAATGTGTATAAAAACATTGACAAAGTCAAAAGTACGAATATGTTTTATTATTTTACAACTAATTTTGTCTTATTATAAAAATCAAGTGATAAAAACGTTCCAAAACTCTAGAGGCAAGAGAATAAATCATGATTTAGGAAGACGATATTATTTGAAGGAATATACTAGGTTTTACTTCTGTTTATTAATTTTTTTTGCTAACCGTATATACCGTATACGTTCATGCATCCATTCATGCCTTGATGATGGCTAAGCAAATAAATGAAATAAGTTCTCACTTTTCATTTTGGACAGTCCCATAATTAAATTCACACTTCCCTACTTTCCTTATTTGACAAATTATCTACATCATAACAGTGCAAAACAATGTCATACAGTGCCGAACAGTGTCCAAACAGTGTCAAAACAGTAAAATTTACCCCTGGTGAATTTATTTTCTTAATACTTGTGAAATTCATCTAGGAACTTAATTGGGAGACGTAGGGAGTATTACATAAACAAATTCACATTAAACACAGCTAGCTAGCTTCAATCACAAATTAAAGTTTAATTTCTGATAAGTATATGTGTAATATATTGTGTATAATTTTCAGGTATCAGACAGATAGTCATATAACATTAGGAGGCCCAAGTGTGAATAACTTCATTCCTGAATGGTACCCATGAAAGGGAGAGACAAGCTGAGATTGTAATGCTTGATGAATAAGCCTGATCATGCTTTTATTTCTTCACATAAGATCTTACATATGTGATCTCTTCTTATTTTATTTTTAATTTTTTATTTCTCTTTTTGTTTTGTTTAAGTTTTTGTTGTTTAGTGATAAAGACTTAAAAAATGCTTTGATTTAGTACTATGATGATGATGGCGATATAGTCATTTAACATTAACTCTGTGTTTACGTACCATGATGATGACTTACCTTAATAATTTTATATTTATTGTTTTCTTGTGCTAGGTGTTCTGCCTGTCTGCTTATTATTTACCTTTTTCATCCCATAAAGTGCAACATATATTTTTATTTGACATTGAATGTATGAAATTATGGATATATATACCGAGTGCTACGTATTAAATATTTGACAATTGTAATACACCATATACAAAAAGTCAAAAAAGTAAGTTAGGTGAACAAAAATTAAACATGTAAATTTATTGATAAAAAATAAAATGTCTAAAATGTTACCAATTCAGTCCTTCACACACTAATGCAAACATCATTACACAGAATAAAAATAAAATGATGAGTGTGTTTCTAAGAAGTTGTTAAAGATGCCCAGGTCAAATGAATCCATACTTATGATGTAGGGGCTTATAGTTGACAACTTTGTAATGAATAAGGGATTGAGTTGCACCAACTTGGCAATGAGGGACTAAATTGTTGGTGATTTTAGTATCACCAGGTTCATTTTAGTGTAATGGAATTTACAGATTACCAATGGAGTTCAAGTTTAATTTTAGACAAGTTAGGAGGTGCGGAGCGCACACTTGTACGAAATTAAATTTAAACTTGGTTCGATTAAATGGCGGGGTTCAAGGGGGCTGCGCCCCCTTGCGGGGTCCAAGGGGTAGCGCCCCTGGCGGGGTCCAAGGGGCAGCGCCCCTGGCGGATTTAATTTATTTTATTAAAGAAATAAATATGGAAATTTATTTTCGGATAAACATGTCCATATTAATTATTTAATAGAATGACTTTCTGTTAGAGTAAAACTCTAACCGATTGGCCTTATCTCTTTGGTAATCAGAAGAATTCGAGTTCTACTAAAACTGCTAGTTCGTGGTCTATATATTGGTGGCTCAGTTTTAGACTGTCTCTCAGAGTGATTATCCCCATAATCTAAATTTCGTGTAACCCAGGCATAGGGTCGAAATATTAGATTCGGAAAGTGATCACACGATACTCTGAGAAATCCGCCAGATTTTCTAAAGGGAGAAAGACTCGAATAGGACTAAAACAAGGTTCACGAACGTAAATAAGACTCCCAACTTTTTAAACCCTAAATAGGACTCATTTTTTACGGAAGGACAAAAACACCCCTAAATTAAAATGACCCTGCCTGCACATACAGAGCGTTCATTTACATCTTCGGTAATCAACAACATCCGCCGCCTCATGGATGCCCAAGTCATCGTCGTCCTCTCGGTGTCCAAGGCTGTGGCTACAGCTCTGCTCCGCAGCTATAATTGGAACGTCAACAGATTTCACGAGGAGTGGTTCGCCGACGAGGAGAAAGTGCAGAAGGAGCTGGGTATGGGTATCGTGTGGGCCCAGTGAGAGCTCCATTTTATTTGGTACCGGAGAAATTATATTGAAATCACCTGCGCAAGTTATCACCGGAACAGTCAGCGACATGAGTCCACCCAACCTCCTAGTGTCTTCTTCTTCTCCCTCTTTTTATTCTTCTTCATCCGCTGCCTCCCTTTAACGAGTATCTTTATGGTACGATGAATGTTGATAGCTTTTTTGTCTTGATTTACTTTTTGTTTTTGTTTTACCTTTTCTCTTACTTTTCAATTTATTATTAATGAATTTAGTTTTGGTTTTTTAAGTTTTTTATGCTCCGTACTACGTTTTACTCCGTATTTTGCAAATTCATCTAATGAATTTGATTTTCTGCAAAAAGTTTATTATTTATTTTGACAAATCTTTTTCATTGACAATGAAATGATAAACATTATCATGAAAAACATTATCAGTGCTAGTAATGTTGCTGGACGGATTTTCTAGTTGATGCTTTGGGAGAAGCTGCTATGGGCATCCTGGAATGTAAAAAATGTGCTAACTAGAGTTAATTAGTAGTTTAATGTCATTATAGTTGTATATGATATTGTAGTGTAATGTCATTGTTTAAAATTAGTGATAGTGTTATGAAAATGTCATATTTTTATACAATGTTGTTACGAGTGAATAATTATGTCAAAATGTAGAAATAAAAATATCACAATGTCCAACCTTGTAATTATAAACATGATCAATAACAATATCAACGACAATTTCATAATAATGTCAATCATTATAAAAATAACATTGTTAAAAATAATGTCAAAGATATAGAATAATATTTTTATGAAAAAATAATGTATTATAATGTCATTATATCACAATGTCATTGTTGTCATTGTATGACACTTCACAATGTCATTGTACTACACTAGAATTTTGGCGGAAAGGACGAGGGGTGGTGAAACAATAATGGTCACGGACTAAATGTGGACAATCTGAAAGTAAGAGACTAAATGTGGAAGTGATATAATAGTCATGAGACCAAAAGTTGAATTTTTTCCGAGTATATTATATGAGGTTCGACAATAAAATCAATGACAATGTCATAAGAATGTCAATGACAAAGTCATAAGAATGTCAACGACAATGTCATAAGAATGTCATTGACAATGTCATAAGAATGTCAACGACAATGTCATAGAAATGTTAATAACAATGTCATAAGAACGTCAATCATTATGAAAATGACATTGTTAAAACTAATGCCAAAGCTCTAAAACATACATAGTAATGATACGGAGTATTAAGCTTTAAAACTAGTCTTTCGTAGCTTTTTACCGTTGTTGTTTTACTTTTTTTGCAGGTCCATTTAATGATACGGAGTATTAAGTTTCTGCGTTAATTATTATTTTGGAAAATATTTTTATAATTGATAATAAATTAATAAATATTAATAATTTATTTATTGTGAATTCCAAAAATGTCACAATCTGACGTCTACGAATCCGGCCTCGACAATGACATGACAATGCCATAAAAGTAACATTATAACAATGTCAATGTAGTGACAAGGTTAATGACAATATCGTAACAATGTCAATAATAATTATAAAAATGACACTGTTAAAATTAATGACAATGCTATAAAAAGAGTTAAATGATTATAAATTGATGACATTTTAAATAACTATAAAAATGACATTATCATGAAAATGCTATTATTTAAAATATAAAATAACATTATCTTTTTTAGTGACATTGTCACCATTAAAATATATTTATGATAATGTAATGACAATGATAGTGTCAATGCCAAGTCAATGTCATGACAATGACAATGTCATGACAATGATATTTTTTAAAAATATGACATTGTCAATTAATCATGATGATAATGTTCAATGATAATGTCATACAAATATCAATGATAATGTCATAAGAATGTCAATGACAATGCCATAAGAATGTCAATCATCATTATGAAAATGACATTGCTAAAACTAATGACATTTTTATTTTCAACAGATGCAACATTTACAAGACAAAGCCAATTCACATTCATCACTTTATACTTTATGTTTATTTTCCCTTGACTGTTAAAATATAATATAAATGATACAAAAACAATGTAGTGCGTATATGTTTAATAAATAACTTAGTAAACTACTTGAAAAGCATTCTTTAATCGCTCTTAGATTCGTAGTGCGTATATGTTTAAGAGATATGGAATATGAACAAATCAGGGCCTAAAAGCAGCTTCAGACACTCTACAATATACTACGTAAACCCTTAACAAGAAGATAGCCATTTCATGATTATCTATATGCCACCACTTAATGATTGACATTCCCCTTGATCGGATGGCTTATCAAGAAAGGCACAAACTGATACAGAGAATTGCTCCTTGAACTTTCAAATGCTTAGTCAAAATAGAAATTCAAAATAACCGGAAAGCAAAATCAAGATAGAAAAAGAGAAGAACGCAAGAAAAGAAGGCCATAGAAACAGAGCTGCAACGAGGGAACAAAATTGAAGTCAAAATCAAATCAATAAAATTGATTGGAATTAAGCAGCAGCTTCACGCTGCAAGTAAACAAATGTTTGCCGCCGCAGCAACAAAAAATCAGATCTATACCCAACGCTCCATTGTTTTATTTGTGATAACCTGGTTATAGAACCACATCAACCAGAATAAACGAAGATCCCATCTCAGGCAGATGCCAATTCAGCTCAAAGAAGAAGATTGAATTAAAAATCAAACAATCTCAGGTGGAGAAGAAGAGCCTCCAGATTCAATTCAAGCCGCCGTCGCCGTTTAGTCGTCTAGTCGCCGCCACGCGAAATAATACATAATCAGGGCGTTCTGGTTCCGCCGCCGTGTCGGCGTAGCCGCGTTGCCATAGTGTCCCTGCCGCCTGGTAGGTCGCTGTCCGGCCGTTCCTCTTCAATTTGCACTATGAAGCTCCTCATCGGATGAGACTGTACCTTGTGTGGTAGGAATTTGTCAGAACACAAGACAGAGACAACGGCCGGTAAGAAGTTGAGGACACGCGCGATGCAAAAATAGAGCTTAGCAGGCCGAGGAGAAGAAGAAAAACAGGACTGCCGCGTGGCTCCAAACTGCCGCTACTGCCACGATCGCTTCCGCCGCGTTCCCCGCCCTCTTCGCCGCCGCTGCATGACTGCCCGTCAGCCCCACCTTATCTCATTAACTTTCTGTGCTGCTTGCGTTGTTGGGCAAAGGTTTGGCTGAAATGTGTGAGTGAGTTTGTCTGGAAGATGGAGGATTAGAGAAAGGGAGATCGTGGCAGGGATATTAGGGGTAATTTTGGAAGGGACGAAAAATTTAGTCCTATTTAGGAGTTAAAAAAGTTGGAGTCCTATTTGAGTAAATATGATAAGTTGTAGTCCTATTTACGACCATTTCTCTTTTCTAAAACAGTTTCCCAACTCTCCAGAATTAACATAAATTGCAGAGTTAAAATGAATCGAGAGACCAAATAGTGATTTTCCCATATAATAATATGACTATTTAAACTTTAAAGATACAGGAAACTTACTGCCTCAAGCCAGTGCTGCAGAGCTAGTTTATGTGCTTCTCGTCCTTCGACAAACCTTTTCCCACCTTTCAAGTTGGAAAATCTTTAAATTATGAACTAAAAAACTCGAGTATATTAAAGAGAATACAAATTCTCTATCCTTACCTTAACAACTTTTGCACTTGCTCTGGACCAACAAAAAATGCCAGTTTCAGGTTTCTCAATGTCAAAGAATGATATAGAATTGCTTAATTCTTTTCAATTTTCATTTCTTTTCATTTTTTCACTTTCAGTTTCCAGCGTTTAGATTATTGGTCAACCTGTGTTTGAGTTTGGGCATGCTCTAGATGCTAACTGACAAATTTTTATGTCTGCCCCGAAACAGATTGGGTGTGCTTTCATTTTTTTAATCTCATGGAATTGATGTAGAAGACTTTTTCCCACAAACAGATTTCTCTTCTCAAGGGTCCCAAGAATCAAATGAACCTTCTATGTCCCATTAGATAGGTTGTTTTTGTATTGGAAAGCTTGTAAAGTTAAGTATAAACAACTGAATGTGTTGTATGCTATTTTCTGAATTTTTTGTGGTACACGAACATGGTACAAGTAAGGATCTTTTGAGCTATATATTATCATATCAGAAGATGCTAATAGCTATTATTTGATTGTGTATACATTAAATAGAATGCTTTATGATTTCATTTTGCAGACATTTTGATTTTTTTATTAAAAAAATGCTAATGAAATTTAATCATGAATAATTTCAATGCAAAATGTGTTTTATTAAATATTTGAAAATTAATCAGTGGCGGAAATTAGCGACTAATTTCTGTCACAACACATAATGGCAGACGTATCTGACATTGAATTTCGTCACATATTAGCGACGACTTTATAAATCCGTCAGTAAACGCAATACCGTCCATAATTTAGTGACAGGCAGTCCGTCACAGATTTCCGTCACTAAGCTTGTTTGTGGCGGAATTAGTGACAGACTTTTTTTCACTAAAGTGCGAGATTTCTTGTAGTGTAAAATGCATTAATTAATAGTATTTGTGTTGCACTTTTAGGGATGATCGTCTTTATGAATCATAAAGTTAATAGTTTATTGATAGTAGTTGGAGGATAATTGTTGTCAACGTTGATCGTAACGATCATTATCCTAGTACTATCGATATAAGTTATTTTCATAAAAAGTACGCTACAAACTTGAACAATCTAGAATTGTCATAAATCTACACGTAATGGGCTAGAACTCTTGTACGTAATCCTTTTGGAAAATTATCACAAATAAACTTAGCTTAAAAGTGAAGGATATAACACTTTTCTTACTTTCCAATTTATTTTTCAAAAATAGATTACTCAATTTTTTTCTTTCACAAATAGACCATGTAGTCCTTAGAAATAGAACTGGACTTCCGTATCCTAGTTCGCTGGTTGATGAGCTGTGTGTCTCTACGTACTCCTTGGTTCAATTACATACTTCGATCATAAACTAATGCTACGTAGGTAATACAAATGTCTAAAAATTATTAGTTTTTTTTTCAAAATAGAATAAAAATGTAAATATTTATAAAAACATCAAAAGGATGTAAATAAATGGAAAGATAATTAAAGTATTAAAAATAATAAGAAACTAATTTCAAAAAAATTAATGTTAAAAAAAATAAATTTCAAAAAAAGTTGTAATACAAATGCCAATTGAACCAATAAGTTAAATTTTAAAAGAAGCAATTATCAAAATGTAAAATGAGTTAAAAATATTCCGAGATTATAAAATATATGAAAAGTAATAAGAAATTTTTATGAAAGAGTATTTTTTTGAAATCGGTCTATATGCAGAGTAATCAATCATTCACATTAAAATAAACACATATATTTAAAAACATTCGAAAAATTCATATAATTTTTTTCAAAAAAGAAAAAATAATGTAAGTTGTACTATAAAGCGTATGAAATATTAAAAATGAGAAAATCTAAAAATTATAGACAGAATATATAAAATAAGATAACATTTTTTGAAACTAATGAAACTTTGAAAAGCATTTAAAGGTTTTTATAAAATAGACTAGTTTTTTAAAAAGCCGGAATATACAAAAACCTAAAATCTAAGAAAATAAAAAAAGTCATTTAAATCAGATAAAATGAAAACCGAAAATAAATTCTTAAAATAAAAAAGAAGTAAATAAAAAACATGTATAAATAAGAACTCATA